CAACTTATCAGTGTAAGAATTTGACGATACGTTTAGTCCCCGTTAGTTCTTACTTTATGTTAAAAAAAATTGGCCAACAAAAATTTACACATTTTACCATAGAAAATTCGTGAAGAACGTATTAGAACTATTACTTACGTATAATTACAAGGTTTCTCCTGCAGCATGAAATTGGACAAAGGAGGGTAATGGCCAGTTTGGGGTAAAACACAACCGCCGCCAAATTGATGGCGTATTCGAAAAGATTGCCGTAGCACGCACCTAGCGAACGCGGGGGAGGGGCCTACCATAGGGCAATTCTAAGAAGCTAGTGGTGATTATATTTTAGTTTTTGGGTTGACATTATGTGTTGACAACGGCGGGGTAAATACAGGAATATTTTCACAACGCGAATTAAATTGTGCACAAGCCGCGTTGCGCCACTGTTGCTCTTTACGTATTTTTGCACAAATTTTTAAGGGATGGTCTACGTCAGTGTTCTAGTCTCTAAGGTCAGTGCAGATTTATGCAGCGCCGGCTGACGACCGCGTCGCATTGCCACGAGTTGCGTATCCGACGGTTTATCTTGTTTCACAGAAAGAAACGGCGAAACACAACTCTCGCACGGTCCCCGAAGCTGAATCTGTGATTCTAAACCCCACCCACAGCCACGCTCTCACATACAGCCGAAGCAGATTCATCGAGGCATGTACACATCAAGATACAGACCTCAACTGTACGCGCACGGATATATATGCAGAGATGCCAACACTTTTCTGAGCAAACTGTAGTGAGGATGTCTGAAATCTGTAGTGCGAGGGTCACGCAGTGACCCGTGTATGCTAGAAAGGGTTCGGGGCATGTCCACCCCCTGGAAAATTTTTTGATTCCGAGATGCAATTTCCTGCATTCTGGGACCCAAAATGACAATAAGTTCGCACTGTGCAGTGATATTTGCTGCTAAATACATGTAGTTATTTTCAAATCATGTTATATCAATGTAACACTGAAAGAAAACACTTGAAATATCATCAAAATGATTTTTTCCCGATCGTAATAAAAATCGTAGTTGTATGCAAACTGGTCGTGGTGGTCTAAATGCAAACGAAATTCGTATAAAATACGGATAAATCGTAGTGGTTGGCATCTCTGTATATATGTTTGAACATTCACGATACACACATCTATACTCCAACAAATAAAATATGCATCGTTTAGTAGCATGGTTTCATCGAAAAACAAAAGGAACGTATTTCAGGTTGCGATTCCACAGCATGCATTCACGAAACGTTCCACGATAGTGATACCGATTTACGATTCACACGAGGAGTAGTTCCGACGCAGAGTATAATTTCCTAGATAGGTTATCTTGAAAGTATAGCGCCACGTATCGTATTGTGAAGGCTGTATCGATAAACAATCATAAACAGAGCATGAAATTAGCCAAAATGTGAACAGGCCCAGGCCCACCCACAATTTTAAACAGACCCTTAGACAAATTTAACAGGCCCTTAATTTTGTTCAATTTATTCAATTATTAATAAAAGTATTAGCTTTGTGTTTATTAGGCATACTCGTAGTATTTATGTGCACAGTTTGTATTTTAGAAGTAGACTAATTGAGCACATCATGCTATTCATGTTCTAAACGTAAAATTACAAAAACCGGCGCGCACTTATACTAGTATTACACCCATGCGATAATCTCACATACAAGTGCCTGATGCCACGCATTTGGAGGGACAGTCAACCGCCTCCTGGATTGGACCCATCTCCTTTCCCCGTTAGCATCGATAACGATTAATTATTCACATTAATTAATTACTCTAATTACGTGACTAACGAGCGTTGGCGTGACTCACCCGCGCATCATCATCAGCCGTCGCTCCTGCTCCCGCATCCGCTGCTCTTTCTTCTTCTTGTCTGTCGGCGGCTTCGCCAGCGAGATCTCCAACGTGGCGCCCTCTAGCTCTTTGCCGTTCATCTCCTCCATCGCCTGCGCGCGCGCGAAACAAAACAATCGAACGGTGAGCTTCGGTTCTTACGGCATACAATGGTACGTACACCCAGGGTGTTAGCCAGGGAAAAAATCAGGGTCACACCATCTGAGCGAAGCAAGGATGCTGGGAGCACGAAGCGCCCTAGGCAGGGTTCATAGTAGTATGACAAATGTTGAAATAAGGACTTATAAGACTTTTTCTGGAGGCCAAAATAAGACTTTTTTTTACGCAATTTCTGATAGATTCGACCGACTGATTAAAGTACACTATAATTATTTAGTATAAAGCCGTTTTCGCCGACATTCAACCAGAAATGTTGAAAAGATGATCGCTTGTGGCGAAAAATAAAGGCCTATTAACACTTTTCAAGACTTTCACCAAAAATAACTATCTAATAAGAGCCCTTATTTTTATTTTTGGCAAAATAAGTACTTAAGGACTTTGAAGACCCGCTATCGACCTGCCTAGGGGGAAAACGCGACAATTTTCAAATTTTCCCCCATGCATGGTAAAATCTGGCCGCCCTCATGCCGTCTCTATCAAATTTTATCCGTCTCATCCAAGAATAGGCCGTCCAAAAGACGAGTAGATGGGTCTCTGGCTAACAGACTGCTTACAAGTTACACCTAGTCAAAACATCGTCTCTCCAGAACTGCAGTATATTTCAACAGTTTTTCGGGACAGCGTTCGTTACCTATAATTTCTAAGATCACAGTCGAATTTTCAGTACTTTTTACTCGGTTCGAAACAGAGGTGAGGGTTTATTTTCCAAACGTTTTAGGGCCAGTCGTTTGGAGATACAAATCATAATCTTAATCTGATCTGGCCGCATCATAATCTTTCACGCCACACAATACGCATCGCTAGACGAGCGAATTCTGCAGATTTTCCAAGACTTAAGCATCCCAGATGTATTTTCTCAGGACGTTTCAGAACCGCAGCGTTTGTTCTCTACGGGGGATCGCGGCAGCGGGCCCCTTCGCAAAATCGCGCGGACGCGGCTCCGCCGGCGTTTATCAGACACGGATGTTCGTCCTCAGCGCGGACGCGTCTGCGACACAGACGCCCGCGTCGGACATATGCTTGTCAATCAACGTTCATCATCAACCGTCGGACGCCGCGCGAGGCGAAGGGGCGCCAGCCACGAGACGCGAAAGCCGCCAGAGCGCGTGCCGCAAAGAAGCCAGGGCGCGCCACGAGGACGACCGAAACCAACCGCCAAATAGTGCGCCAGAGAGAAGCTAGAGGGCGCTACGACAATACCCAGCGAACGCAATCACCGTTGGCGTCACCATTAAATTATTCCGACAACACACTCAACATCCGACGCGGCGGAAAGACAAGCCAGGCACGGGGGCCGGCCACCGGCCCGCGCCGCCGCGGCGCCGCCCCCAGGCCACCGAAGCGTGTCGCTACGCATTGCGCCGGACGGGTTAACGCCAGGGCGCGGCCGCGCGACGTACGACAAAGCGGTCGCTGCGCCGGAGGGGTCAACGCCAGGGGGCGCCGGCGCGCGCGTACCTTGACGCAGTCGTCTCCGCCTCCGTCGAAGTGGACAAAGCCCGTAGTCCCTTGATCTTCTTGACTCCGCCTCAATCTTGCGAACGGCTCGAAGAGTATTCCTTCATCTTCTCCTCGGTGACTTCGTTCTATCGAGGTTCCTTACGTAGAGGCCGCGTTAACCTGATGCGAAGTAGGAAGCTCAGGTTAAGGCATGAGAGAGGGCATGTGGAGAGAGAGAGAGCTCAGAGAGAGAGAGAGATGGAGAGAGGAGAGAGAGGGAGAGAGAGGAGTGAGAAAGGGAGTGAGAGGCGAGTGAGAGGGCGAAAGAAGAGAGAGAGAGAGAGAGAGAGAGAGAGAGCAGAGAGACGAGAGAGAGAGAGAGAGAGAGAGAGGAGAGAGGAGGAGAGGGATGGAGGCGGGGGGGGAGGGAGGGAGGGAGGGAGGGAGGAAGGGAGGGAGAGGGAGGCGAGGGAGGGAGAGAGGGAGAAAGAGAGAGAGGGAGAGGAGAGAGAGAGAGAGAAGAGAGAGAGAGACAGAGAGAGAGATCGAGACACAGAGAAAAATCTCTTGAAAGCTGCGAGTGTCAGTGAGATTTTTGAGCCGTGGCAAACACACATTCCACGAGTTGCTATCTCGACGTTTACTGTTCACCAGAGGAAACGGCGGGAAGCACAACTTCGCACGTGTCCCCGAGCTGAATCTGTGATTCTAGAACCCCCCCCCCCCCCGTCACAGCCGAAGCAGATACACGGGATTCACGTTAAGTGCCCCCTGGAAGCCGACATTAATACCAAACGGCCGTGACCTCCACCGACCCCCACGACCTCCACCGACCTGTGACATCGTTGCCTCGTCCGGCTCCTCTATGGGGTCGGCCCAGTCGACGATGATGTCGCAGTTCCACGGGCGTATGCGGCCAGTGCTGAGGCGACGCTTGGCGAGTGAGGCGGCCTTGTGCGACTCGTACTCTAGGAAGCAGAACCCGCGATTCTTCTTCTTGTCGTCAGGGGAGCTGTAGATGATGACCTCTACCAGGCCCGCTGCCAACACACACACACACACAGATATATATATATAAATACATGTAACTATCCCACACGATCACCTTTACGCCCGCTGCAGACACACACACACATTATATATATTACTAGACGAGAGGCACTCACAGAAGTGCTACCTCCCGCGAGCATGTACACATGTATGTGCTCTGCTGGTGGCGGCTGCTGACTGACTCGCCTGCTGCTGACTCGCCGCTCGCTGACTCGATGCGCTATCAATCGCGCGCGGCCCGCTCCGCTGACGTCCGCGCTATCAATCGCGCCGCGCGGGCTGGACACACACACACAGCATGAACACACACACGAGAGCGATTGCATGACCTCCGTTGCGCGGAGGTAATAATATGTATGTATATATATATATATATATACACACACACACACACACACACCTAGTTCTGGGATGTATAGGAACTATGCCATGCTATCACCATGACCAGGACTGCTTCCGACAAAGACGAGAATATGAATCTGGATAGACTCGTATGTGACCACATATATATACAGATAGGTAATGATAATAAATGTTAACATTACGTATAATACGTTAAAAGAAACGATCCAGCTATAAGTGTCAGTGAGATTTTTGGGCCGTGACGACCGGTCGGCGTTGCACGGAGTTGCTATCTCGACGGTTTTACTGTTCACAGAAGAAACGCGCGAAACACACTTCGCACGTGTCCCCGAAGCTGAATCTGTGATTCTAGAACCCCCCCCCCCCCACGCTCACAGCAGATACACCGAGATTTACGTTAACGAAATGTATGATATTATACGTAAACTGCTATACGTGACGCTTTAATGCGTTCTCCAAAAGCACGACTAGCAACGAACACCAACGCAAAGCATCCTAAGAAACGTCGTCGTCATTGTAATCGTCATCGCGACGGCGCCACTTACACGTGTGCTGACAGAACTCTGCTGATATCTCTGCGCGATCTCGATTCTTCGGAATGTTCCCGACGAATATGCGCTGATTGGCCACCGATATGTTCACCTTGATCTTCTTGCCCTTACGAATCTCGTGCCCGTCGATCTGCGAACGCGGGAAGCGAGAGAGTTCGAACCAGTTACGCACGGGCGGAAGGCGATGGGAAGGGATGAATTCGCGATCACTCATTCACTCGTGCACTCGCACGCACGCACACATACGCACGCACACCACTCATGCACGCACGCATCGCACCCTCACGCCGCACATGAGGAATTCAGATTATATATAAATCGTGGCCTCAGATATGTTATCAGGTTATACATTATCATTCCGTATAACACGTTAGCACAGCGTTAAAAGATACGATCCAGCTATAAGTGTCAGTGAGATTTTTGGGCCGTGACGACCGCGTCGGCGTTGCCACGGAGTTGCTATCTCGACGGTTTACTGTTCACAGAAGAAACGGCGGGAACACAACTTCACACGTGTCCCCGAAGCTGAATCTGTGATTCTAGAACCCCCCCCCCCCAACGCTCACAGCCGAAGCAGATACAATTTCCATTAAGCGTCCCCTGGAGGCCAGCTCAATAAACACACAAGAACTTTAGTCGGGTGCCCCCAGAGGTCAACTCCTGAGTACACACGGCCTCATACATACATCATTACAAACATAGAACTCAAGTTAAAGTGATTACGTTAATAATAAAAAAAAAAAATCCCACTTTTTCACAAATATAAGCAATTCTGTTCACTTTTATGGTTAAATTGCTGCCATTATACTTCCTATTTTACTATATTGTTCGATGTGCACTACACACTCGTGACTCATACATAGCCAATAGCAAGCAATGATTGTCAGAAAACATAATATCAAATCATCCAGGTTTTTTGGATATTTAACTTATCTATCTTATTTATCTTATCAGGTAAGAATTTGACGATACGTTTAGTCTCGTTAGTTAAAAAAATGGCAACAAAAATTTTACAAATTTTACCATAGAAAATTCGTGACGTAATCACTTTAAGCCTCACAATGCGCATCAAACCGCTAAAACTTCTCCAGTACTAGACTAGCAACTACTTTGTGGCATGCCATATCACACTCCTTATGACAAAATAAACTCTAGTTCCTCCCATTTGACTGCGCGTTCCCAACAAGAAAGGGTGCGAAATCAGGTAATCAGGCGCAACGCTAAATTGTTTCAAACAACATAGCATCGACTTGGTTTGGTGACGTCACAGTGTCTACAGGGTGTTGAGGCAAATAATGTTTTGTCCCGGGTAAACTGTTTGCATAGTGGCGACAGTGCATAAGATAGTTGTAGTATTGTAACCTGCTGTATTGTAACATCAAAGACTATTAAGAAAGTATTTATGGGCAGCGTAATAAACGTGAAAATAACGTATTGATTTTAGGCTTGATATCGCTAACAGCGCGAACATTGCGCTAGCAGCGTGCAAGCGAAAAACGCACACGGGCCGTAGAAATCTTTGCTACACCCGCTGGACAGTTGCCTGGCAGAGCAACGCAAACGTGTCAACAACATCGGAGAATTTGAACAACAGTGGAGGTATTTTCAAATACCTTTTATAAGACAATGCGCAGTGAAATGGGAGGCACTAGAGTTTATTTTGTCATAAGGTAGTGTGATTATTCATGCCACGAAGTATTTGCTAGTCTAGTACTGTAGAAATTAGCGTTTGGATGCGCATTGTGAGGCTTTAAGCTCCTTCCGATGGCGGCCGCAAATACGCACCTTCGATCAAGCTCCCCCTGGCGGCTGACAATACACATACACAACTCCCCCCACACCACAGAACGCCTCCTGGTGGCTCACCCGTTTGACGGCCTCGGCGGCGCCCTCTTTGTCGCAGAACGTGATGAAGGCGTATCCGCGATTCTGGCCCGTCAGCGGATCCATCATTAGACGCAGATCCCAGATCTTCCCGCACGGCTCGAACACGGGAACCAGCTCGTCCTCAAACATGTCCTTGGGAATCTTCCCGCAGAAAACCTGGAAGCAAGGGGGAAGAAATCACGACTTGAGCTGCGAGCAGAAAAAAATCTTAACAGGGGGAAAAAAATTACGACTTGGATTTAGAAATCCTTGGGGATGTTCCCACAGGAAAGCTGCAATAGTGGGACAAATTCATGACATAAGTTGAAGTCTTCTTAGGAATGTTCCCACAGGAAAGTGGCTAGAGGGGGGAAGAAATCACAAAATGGGTCTAAAAATCCCTGGGAATAATTATTCTGGAGGAAAGCTGCATGCAAGGGGAAAGAAGTCACGACTTGGGTAAAAAAATCCCTGGGAATAATTCTACAGGCAAGCTGAGTTCATGAAAAACACGAGTTCAGCTCGTTTCTAAGCGTCCTAAAAACTCGTCTGTTCCGCTAAAAAATATGATGGACGAGGGTGAAGGAAAAAAAACATAGAAAACTTTCTACATCAATGAACATCTGAAGATTCTCGTGAGTCTTTCTGGATGAAAAGACATTTACGCTACTAAGAATAGGGCCAAAGGCAGGACATGTTTCCATGACTTTTCTAGAACTTATACGGTCTATTTACTAGTACCCTGAGGTTCAAGGTAAATACAATCTAACGATCTACAATAAGTTAATAAATTCTTGCCTCAAGCAGGTATTATTCCGTCTCAGACAGCAAGCTGTTATTGCTATATCGTAAGTACAGTGGAACCCTGATTTTACGTGCCCTGATTTAACGCGAATTCGGTTATAACGCGATGAGTCGTTGGACACCATTTTTTGCTCTTATATAGCCACGTATATATATAACCTCGATTTAGTGCAACCCCGCTTTTTTCGCGATGACATTTTATGGACCCCAACCATTGCGTTATAACGGGGCTGCACTCACTGTGTATAATACTAGGCAGGGGAAAAATTTATTTTTCAGGTGCTACTTTTCAAGCTCGCGTGCATGAAAATAGCACTCTAAAATTCGGTTTCCATTGAACTCTATGCAAATTTACGGGGGCTCTTTTTGGCATTTCGGGAGCTAAATCGCCCTGAGCCCCTGTGTATTTTTTTCACTGATACTTGGTATATAATGTCAACTCAACAGATGTGCCCAACTTCCAGAACCAACTTTACAGGATTAAACGTAATAAAAGCCCACATTTCAGGTCTTTCTGGCCCCACAGCCCATTTCCATGACCCGTACGAATGACGAGACACACAATGCGTTCACCTACAGACAATAGTGGTAATCAAGGAGCTAAATATAACAAATACTAAATACTACAACAACAATAAATACAACAATAAATACAAAAACAAATACTAAATATAAATAAGGAGAGGAAGCGGATTGGCTGTGCGCTTTTCGCCTCAAGGGCGCCATCTATGGACCATAATCAGCTGAAACGACTGTGCAGACCGAACCCAGACACAATAGAAGTTCACTAAACTGTTCTAGAGTCTCTGCCGAACCCAAATTTGGGCCAGATATGGCGGCGCTTCCTCTCCTTGTTATATTTAGCTCCTTGATTGTGGTAACAGTTGTCAGTGAGATTTTTGAGCCGTGGCAACACAACATTGCCACGGAGTTGCTATCTCGACGGTTTACTGTCCACAGAAGAAACGGCGGAAACACAACTTCACACGTGTCCCCGAAGCTGAATCTGTGGTTGTGGACCCAGAACACACGCGTATTGTCGATTGAAAATATAGACGCCCCTTTGAGTGAAACCCTTCATGCCCCGCATTAAGACGAACGTCCCAGCATCCTCATCGCTGCCGTCGACTCCTCCTCCCCTTATCCCTCCTCTTCTTCCTCGCTCCTCCTCCTCCCCCTATCCCTCCTTGCTCCTCCTCCCTCTATCCCTCCTCCTCCTCCTCCTCCTCACCTCACATCCCGTTCCGGGGGGCGGTCCCTCAGCGTCCGGCGGAGGCCCTCCGTACTTCCTCTGTCCTGTAGTGACGTCCAGCGTGTAGCCGGTCCGACTCAGGATCTCCTGTTGCGTCCGAGAAGAGAGAAAAATATACAGCCTGGATTAACACGCGCGAAGTATCGTGTGTGCGTGTGTCTGTGTGTGCGTGTGTGAGTGCGTGTATATGTGTGCGTGTGTGTGTGTGTGTGTGTGTGTGTGTGTGTGTGTGTGTGTCTGTGATTGCATGCGTGCGTGCGTGCGTGCGGGAGGTGTGTGTGTGTGTGCATGTGGGTGAGTGCGTGTGCGTGCGTTTATGTATATCGGGGTAAATACACTTAAGGCATAACATTTCCCCAGTTTCATCGTGATTTAGAACGTCAATATTTTTCCCGATCGCAATGCTTCCGTTGACTAGTCGTTGCATTCCGTCCTCATCACTGTAGTATGACGGCCAAGTTTCCGCAACATTAGCACCAGAGACCAATTATCAATGACTTTTCAGACCCCAAAAAATGGTATTTAAAAAAAATTGTTTACACGACCTGTACAAACCATTGGGAGAACGTGTATTACGACCACCAGTACCGTGTGTATGTGGCAAACCCCATATGAAGCTGTTCAGAAACTTGGGTATATGTGGTCCACAGTGTGTGTTCACACTCGGATTATATATAGTAATCATCACAACAGCTTCTGTGCGTAACCTTCCCGCTCCAGCTCTCTACTCTCTAGTTCTACTGTTAGTCGCTCTACTTTAATCTGTAAGTCTGTTATACTTAGTTCTCTAGTTCTGTTCTCTCTACTGTTTCTCTGTTTCTGTCACTCCTGCAATCTCCTCCTCCGTCCCTACCTTCCGCCATCTCTTCCTCTTCCGTCCCTACCTTCCGCCATCTCTTCCTCTTCTGTCCCTACTTTCCTCCCTCTCTTGCTCTCTTCGCCTCTGTCCCTACCTTCCTCCCACTTGCTCTCTTCCACTCTGTCCCTCCCTTCCTCTCCCCCCTTCATTTTATCCAACTCCAGCTCCCTCCCTCTGTCCCCTCCTTACTCTCTAGCTCTCTTCTCTGTCCCCTCCTTCCTCTCTAGGTCTCTTCTCTGCCCCCTCCTTACTCTCTAGCTCTCTTCTCTGCACCCTCCTTCCTCTCTAGCTTCCTCCCTCTGTCCCCTCCTTCCTCTCTAGCTCTCTTCTCTGCCCCCTCCTTCCTCTCTAGCTCCCTCCCTCTGTCCCCTCCTTCCTCTCTAGCCCTCTTCTCTGCCCCCCTCCTTCCTCTCTAGCTTCCTCCCCTCTCCTTCCTTCCTCTCTAGCTCTCTTCTCTGCCCCCTCCTTACTCTTTATGTCTCTTCTCTGCCCCCTCCTTCCTCTCTAGCTCCCTCCCCCATCCTGATCGCGGCGGCATCGTCGTACCTTCAGCTTTGCCTCGTCCGGTCCCTTCGCCTGACTGATCTGATCTCCCTTCATGCGATTCCTCTCTAGCTCTCTCCCTTCTCCCCATCCTACACCCTCTCGCTCCCCTCACAGATACTATGGCGGCATCGTCGTATCTTAAGCTTTGCCTCGTCCGGTCCCTTCGCCTGACTGATCTGATCTCTCTTCATGCGATTCCTCTCTAGCTCTCTCCCTTCTCCCCATCCTACACCCTCTCGCTCCCCTCACAGATACTATGGCGGCATCGTCGTACCTTCAGCTTTGCCTCGTCCGGTCCCTTCGCCTGACTGATTTGATCGCCCTTCATGCGATTCCTCGTCCGGAAGGTCTTCAGCATGCCGCACAGGTATGCGCTCTTGTTTGTCACGTGCTCCAGGTTCGTCTCGCGGAACTGCTTCAGCACAGTGCAGGCGCCCTCTACCGGGAACTCCTTGAGGGCGTCAACGGCGCGATCGTCCAGCTCCCCAGACGTCATTATGCCTGCGACATTAATTAATAATCGATAATTAATTAATATAGATTATAATTGATGAGTACCGTAGATTTCATTTTCAAGATTGCTCCAATCGCCGCCGAACAAGTCACTTCCAAATACAAGACTAACGAAGCGCAACAACTAATTATTCAGCTCACGATTTCTCCCTTCCGCTCCCTCCCGAGCTCCTCTTTCTCCTCATTTCACAGTTCGCACATGCGCTCCTCTCACTCTCTCTTCCATTGAAATCTCCCTTTGCTCACTCTCCTATCACCTCCCTCTCTTCTCCAAATTCTCCCCTTCACTCACTCTCCTCTTCTATCAGTCTCATAGAAAAATAGAAATCACCTCCCTATCACCTCCTCTGTCACCGCCACACTCACTTTTCTCTCTCCTCCCCATCTCCTCCCTTGCCACTGTGCTCACTTTTCTCTCTCCTCCCTATCTCCTCCTCCATCACTGCCACACTCACTTTTCTCTCTCCTCCCCATCACCTCCACCTCTCCTCCCTTGTTACCGTGCTCACATCCCTGTAGAACTCACCCTCCTGGTATATGATCTCGATCTCGGTCGCGACCTTGCCGTCCAGTCCCTGCCCCGTCAGCTTCGCGTAATCTTCCGACTGCTCTGCTGCCGCCGGCTCCTCCTCCTCCTCTGCCTCCTCCTCCTCCTCCTCCTCCTCTTCCTCCTCCACCGCCGCCTCCTCCTCCTCCTTCTGCGTCACCGTGTCCGCCGCCGGCGTCTCGGCCGTCGTCGGCGCAGACTCCGTCTCCATCGGTTCATCCTCTTCTGGCCCCGCCTCGGTGCTGCCCTCTGCTGCCACCTCCGCCGCCGGCGCGGGCGCCTCCTCCGCGGGTGCCGCCTCCGCTTCCGTCGTTGTCGTCGCCGCCTCGCCGGCTGGGGAGGTCTCCCCCTCCCCCTCCTCCTGCTTCACGACCACGTCATTTTCCATGTCCGACATGATGACCTCCGACCTGCCGGGGAACGAGAAAAGAAGGCGCGCGCGCGTCGAGTCAACGTTCTCAAACAAGTTCGGTATTAGCCACGAACGAGTATTCTGGGAGTGCAGAAGAAATATTTGGGAGTGCAATTTTCTTGTAAGTGTCTCTATGTGAATATTTTTGGCCGTGCAGTTTCAAAACGGACCGCGCAAATCACGGCTGCACGGCTCGCTGGCTAACACATTGTCGCCAAGTTCGGTATTGTTCGGCACGTTTGTCGTCTGTGGTCACAACATTTTTTGGGGGGGTTCTGTCTTTAAATGTGTTTGTCATTTCTGTTTACGCCCTACTCCGCAGAGAGTAGATCGCTCCCCGACATCTCGTATTAACCTGAAGGCGGCGTCTGCCTCTCCCAGTGACAAAAACGGCCCGTATTTCGATGTGCGTGCGCCCGCGTCGCGCTGCCGTCGGATGATGCAGAGTCGCGATTCGTGCCACGTTCGTTGCGCCGCGCGTCGGAATTTTTAGCACGACGCAGCGACTATTTAGTGTGCGTCAAAACGGGGCGTTTTTATCCGGGGGAGGGAGGCATACATTTGAGATTCGCGCATCAAATCGAGATCAACATCACGTTTTATGGGTTGGAATGTTTTTTGAGCGCGCCGGCACATCGAAACAGCCCCGGGCATTTTTTTACTGGGAGAGGAGGATGCCGCCTTCAGTTTAATACAAGATGTCAGGGAGCGCTCCACGCTCTGCTGAGTAGGCCGTAAACAGAAATGAACAAAGAAGAAAAAAACAAAAGACGACGTGTTAGCACAGATAATTATAGCTAGGCGAGACAGAATAAAAAAAAGCCATTAGACAATGCACAGATAAAGCATTTTCCACAGGAGGTTGTGTCACTAAAATGTTAAGATTAAATTTAAAAATTTTAATATGTTATCCTGGCTAATAGCTAGATAAAATATTTTTTTTAAACTCAAGAGCACAGAAACCGTACATATAACATTTATGCATTTTTTGTCACTGGTAGTGGTATCTACTATCTGGATGCCGACTGTACGAACGTAGAAGTTTAAAAAAAATGTAAAGGCATTAGCCTGGCTAATAGATAGATAGATAAGCAAAGATCAGACAGATATGCAGGGTTCTCCAAGCCTTTTCATTATAGCATGGGGGTGCTGCCTTTACGGTCCTAGTTTTAGCAATTTTTAGCAAATTTTAGCACGGCGGCTATGATATTTAGAGTGGTGGGTGCATTTTAGGGTGGCGGGGCTCGACGATAGCCTGGCGGGCCGCCAGGCTATAAGTGCTCTTGGAGAACCCTGATAAGGTATTAATTTTGGTTAGTCATAGGTGTTATGTAGGGCCGTTACCGATATCCAAACGACAAGAAAAAACGAGTTCAACAAAAAACAAACCAAACAACATGCAGATAAGATAGCTCGGGCTACGCGCGTTAGCTAGGGTATGTAGGATCGGTACCTAGCATCAGACTGTATGGTACAGCAGATAGGTGTTATGTAGGGCCGTTACCGATATCCAAACGACAAGAAAAAACGAGTTCAACAAAAAACAAACCAAACAACATGCAGATAAGATAGCTCGGGCTACGCGCGTTAGCTAGGGTATGTAGGATCGGTACCTAGCATCAGACTGTATGGAAGAAAATAAAAAACAAATGAAACAGAAAGAAAACACGACACAGACAGCCTAGCCGCTGGCGTTGTCCGTGCGGAATCGTAAACGACCGCCGAAAAAAACAAAATCCAAAATTAGGAACACTCGCTGACACACGATCAAAGACAAAGACCTCGTGACCCCGAAACCGCTCGCAAATTCGCGAGGGGGGGTGGGGCATCGATGGCGACTGGATGACGTGAATGTTAGAGCAATGACTGCAGTGCATCCACACTGTACACGCGTCGGTTCAAGGATAAAAATGATGTCCAGGACGGTGATTGGATAGGATGATGTTTATTACTGGACATGCTCTCTATCCTTGAGCCCATGCGGCTGCCACACGTATCGGGTTACCTAGGCAATGCCTGCCGATTCCACCTCAAAAGCCGTTCAGAAACTTAGGTATAAGTGGTCGTCAGCGTGTGTGCACATACACACACTCTCTCGACTTGCTATGTCATCACAACAGCTTTTCGTGGGGGGTGGGTATCGGCGCCGTGCATTTTACGATTCACGGAATCACACGTGGTGAGATGTGCTACTCGAACCATCATGGCGTACAGTGCAAAGTGGAAGATGGCAGAACCCTTTCCTTTTATGGATGCCATCAATTCGAATTCACTTTCCACTAATTATTCGCTTCGTTTAACTATTTTGTTCGCGAAAACGCACGCGATTCTACCTTAGCTCGCGGCACTAGACAGGATTTTACGAGAAATATGTTAATTTGTCGGTTTCCGTAAATCGACAATTTCAAACACGTGACTTTCCGCAAAGCATGTACACGGGTGAACTTTCCGCCTGGCGCTACCGGGAGATAAATTAATACTCAAACGTTTGACAATTTTACGACGAACGTGCGCGCACAGAAAACGCGAAGACGTAACGTTTCGTCCGAAACGTGTCTCAACACTCCGGTGGTGGAGAAGAGAGTCACGTTACAAATGGTTTTAGACAATAAAAAACATGTTTTCTCCCAACGGGCGCGGCGAGCGAGGCAACCGGCATGGTTTCAACTTTTCACGCGCGTAGTGCTAAAACTAAGCGACCAAAAAATAAATTAGTATCGCAGACCGAAACCTTGCACAATTGTACTATTAAAAGCGTATGAACGAATTTACCTTGACCAATACTTGCGGAGAAATTTGTAGACAAAGACAAAGTATGACAAATTTGAGTATGGCGGCACCTGACGCTAAGTCCGCGAGAGGGGGCTAACCAGACATGAAACACGGGCAAAATTTAACAGCGTAAAATCTACAGAGTTCATAATAATCTATCAGACAATTTTATTATTCAATTATTTAAAATTTAACATATAAGTTTGTGCTTCTAATTAGGAAATAATCTAAAATTATATTTTGCTTGAAGGCGTGGCTTACGTAGTAAACAAAGCAATGTATCATGGGATATCATCATTTTGATTCTGAAGCGATTTGTAAATTATTTACACATGTGAAATAATAATTAAATCACTATAACTATGTGGATGAATATAAATTACGTAATTTGTACACATAAATGAGTAAATAAGTTAACTAAATTTGCAGTATCTTGATATTAGGATTTACATATAAACCCAATAAATTACTGCTTACACTTTTACACTTACACTACAGTCACAGTCACGGAGCTTAGCTTGCTCAAATTTGATAGGCCCCTAGGCCATTCTGAAACACTTTTTGAAGACCGTCACACATACGTGACACATGCACTTGGAACGTCTCAATAAAAAAAAAATGTAAACATGAAATGTATTTACTACCAAAGTCTTAATGTTTCTCTACTCTATTTCGCCTATTAGTATTATTGCCGATAATTACCCGAAAATGCCGGTCAAATGCTCATCTGCAACACACAAGTACACCGCCCGCCCGCCCTGTGCACAAACAACATGAATACATTAATGTTGAACACACTTACACAGGTGTACTTGTGTGTTGCAGATGAGCATTTGACTAGCATTTACGAATTACGGGTAATTATCGGCAAAATAGGGTAGAGAAACATTAAGACTTTGGTAGTAAATACATTTCGTGTTTACATTATTTTTTTTAATTGAGACGTTCCAAGTGCCTGTGTCTCATGCATCGCAATGTTGCAATAATAGAAGTTACTGCCGTATTAGGCTCTATAAATACTATTTAGAGAGTGGCTATATGCCCGGCAGCCGGCATATATCTGACGGCTGCTGGGCACGGTGTTCGATTTCCTAAATGCCCGGCAGTTTTATCTCAAGTAAACAGAGGGTTGAGGTGAGGGTTAGGCGTTAAACTGCCGGGCATTTAGAAATCGAAGACCGTGCCCGGCTGCCGGGCATATAGCCACAGCGTACTATTTATCATTAAAATGTTAAATTCTCCGTAGCGTTTTACGAGTAGAAACATGAACGTCATAAACTCATCCTTGCAATCTGTTTTTTTTGCTTTGTTTTCAAATCAAGTTTTAGTTTTGAAATCCTGACAAATCCATTTCAATCAAAATTAACATCCATCAAAATTGATATCGATAGCAGATAAGATAGCAATGTGGACCGGCCCAACAATTAAATTGAGAATGAATCATGGTTTGTCTTCAACTAATATGATAATTTTCAACGTGATGGTTATAATTTCGATCGATCTCAATAAGGCATCTCACAGGCAAGTTAGCAAAACTCCTTTTATTAAATTATTTTTGTAAACATTTACAAAACAAGATGGGTATGGAACGTAAGAAACCGATATGTTAACTTAACAGTAGGTATACATTCTATAGTTACGTCAAACAATAACGTTATCACGTACACCACAACTAAAACATAGGTGGAGCTAGCTGCGCTCAAGTGGTGTCATGTCATCTGGATACCATACATTAACCTACTAATACTATTAAGACTATATTATTCACCGGTCTACCCATGACAGTACAAACATAATATCCCATGCATCTGCATAACACTGAATCACGTTCTAACTATTCATATATTACACCTGTACAGTGAACAACAAACGAACGAGCTACAAACTGAAACATTATTCATACACGGTATTGCACGGAGGCACGCACGCACACGCACTATACTGACAAGGGGCAGACATCGTTACTACATTTTCACGATCATATCGTATGTACAAAAGAAATGCACTTTGCATCGCTCGCGCACTATGCGACTACATCGCATCTTGGGCGCATAGCCACTTGAACATCACATTTAAATCTGTCGAAAAACGCGTCTCTACCACGACAACAAAATATTAATCCTTTCCTAGATAAACCCGTCTCTTTCTCGTGCGTGTGTAGACGCGGAGCGGTGTACGCCGCGAGGGGGTTCGCGTTATCGCGCTTCCAAGTCGGAAGAAAAATGAGAGCCGGCGGGGGATCTCGGAAGCGACAGAGCGCGTGGCAACGCGTTGCAACCCCCGACGGACGACGGGAGGACGCTCCGTCGTCCGGCAACGCCCCGACGGACGACACGCGAGAGCTCGTCGTCGCACCCGGCTCCGAGACGACGCCAGAACCTCGTCGTACGGCAGACGTGCAGGGCGTCGAACTGCTCGCGGTTTCTCTCCCGCGTCTGATCCCCGAGGAGGGGGGGTTCAGTCGCTCGTGCCGCGCCTCCGGCGGCGCCCCCTGGGGCGCTACGGCGTTGACTGGGCCTTGTAAGCGCAGACGAGTGTTTGGCATGGACGCAGCGGCAGGGATGGTGTTATACAGTATTCGTTCTCTGCAGTCTCTTGAACGGACAGAAGGACATCACAAAGTGGCCCTCCTGTAAGCGTGAAACGAAGGAAGGCAAGATGAGAAATGCGTCAAGATTGATGATGATAACGATACCAGGTTTTCTACTGAAACAAGTGACCCTCATGGTGCGTGAAACGACGAAAGAAGATAAAATACTCTCTGCGTTATACATCTGAATAATGACAATGATAATGATAACCCGAGCTGAGAATTAAAGCCGATATACGAGGTCAGATATATATATCGGCTCCTTGATTCATGATTTTATAATATTAACGCTTTCATAGGTTTTTTCGGAAAATTTTCATAGGCTGTTCACGATTTTCATAATAAAGTGACGAGCTATTCGCAATCGGAGTGCAAAGTCTTGCTTAAAATTCATGTATGTGGTTGATTTGTCCCCCCCCTCATAAGGCACTCATAAATATTAGTCTTCAAAAGTCCTAGGACTATAACGAAGACGGGAAGAGGAAGGTGGAGTCAAAATCGAGTACGATCCAACACGCGGATTGCAGTGGCGAAAATGCAATTTTGGCATTTTCCCACGATGTTTTTTATAATGTACTTTCCACGACTAGCTGCACAAAATTTTACTAATATACTTCAGATACAGATTGGCGCCACGAACAGAATTAGCCGGAGATGGTGCAATGTCGGAACTTTCTTTTATTTGATCGGCATCGATACGACAAGAACTGAATAAAATAAAATAAAATCGAGTTTACAATTCACTCCGACATGCACATTTTGCTAACGATTCCGCTGCATAGATGGCGCCAGCGCTACTCAACGCTGTCAGAGCGCGGCTTGGTCGATGCCGTCGTTTGAGGTGTGACAGAGTCGACGAGCCGCACGCTGCCGTACAGCCTACACTTCACCTCCTGTGGGGCAACACCGCCGCGTGAGCAATGAACAGTAGTGAACCAATACCCTACACAAAGCAGAAACCCCGATGTTATATATATAGACTTATTAATACCAAATACACGACCCTGTGCAGGTGCTAACATCCATTATTTACCCAGTGCCAAGATCCTACCTTTGCGTCCAAGATCTCACCAGTCCAATTCCTACCCAGTCTTTACGCTTAACCAGTCTCACGTCCTACCGAGTCCACACCCAGCAGCCATCCTTTGATCTAACACAAGGCAAACGGTCCTACTGAGCTCAATATACCGTGCAGTCCATTATTCACCACCATCAAAGTCCCACCCAGTCCGAGCTCCCACCCAGTCCTAGCTCAGTCCTAGCTCCCACTCAGTCATTATATAACCTCATCCACTGTCCCACCCGTCCTAACCCAGTCCTACTCCCACTCAGTCCATTACTATAACCTCATCCACTGTCCCACCCACTCTAACCCAGTCCTAGCTCCAGTAACTCGTCCATTATACAATCCTAATCCACTGTGCCCACCTCAGCTCCTAACCCAGTCCTAGCTCCCAGCCTCAGTCCATTATATAAACATCAATCCACTGTCCCACCAGTCCTCAACCACAGTCTAGCTCCCAGTAACTCAGTCCATTTATACAACACTCATCACTGTCCCACCCCAGTCCTAGACCCAGTCCTAGCTCCAATCAGTCCTTTATATAACCTCATCCACTGTCCCACCAGTCCTAACCCAGTCCTCGACTCGCACTCATCCAAATTAATAACCCCATCGCAACTGCCCACCCGTCCTAACCCAGTCCTAAGCTCCCAGTTAACGCTCAAGTCCATTATAAAGCCTCATCCAACTGTCCCACCCCAGTCCTACCCAGTCCTAGCCCCAGTAAACTCAGTCTTTATATAACCTCATCCACTGTCCCCACCCAGTCCTAACCCCAGTCCTAGCTCCAGTAACTCAGTCCATTATATAACCTCATCCACATGTCGCCACTCGAGTCCTAACCCAGTCTTTAGCTCCCCACTCAAGGTCCATCTATATTTACCACCATCAACACGGTCCAGTCCCTAAGTCCCAGAACTCAGTCCATTAATTAACCTCATCCACTGTCCCACCAGTTCCTACCCCAGTCCTAGCTCCCACTCAGTCCATTACGTAACACCCATCAAAGTCCACCAGTCCTAACCAGTCCGTAGGTCCCAGTAACTCAGTTCCGATTCATATAACCCATCAAAGGTCCCAGTAACTCATGTCCATTATATAACCTCATCCACTGTCCCCCACCTCTAACCCAGTCCTAGCTCCCATGTACTCAGTTCCATTAATAGTAACCTCATCCGACTGTTCCCCATCAGTCAACACAGTCCTAGCCCCACGTATGCATTACTACCCCGATCATGTCCCACTCAGTCATTGATAACGGTTCGGCTCACCAGGGGGTCGGTACGTCCGCTCGTCCCGCAGCG